TGTTGAGCGGCTTACGCATTCGAAACGAACGGCAGCAAAATAAATTACCCTTGTTACGTACCTCACACTAGAGATACGCTTTGGCGAAATGGTAATACGCTCACATGGGAAGCCTTTGCCCATTTTGCTTAAATACCCCGTCAAAATATTTTTTTGCTGATATAACTGGGGTGGAAAAAAATCCTTGGACGACCATGAAGACTGACGAACGGCTTCACCTCGACACGTCAGCTTTAGAAAATAGTCTTAGAAACGGTAACCAAGTAGTTACATTATCAACTCAGTTGATAAAATCAAACTTTCTTATTAAACCCCCCCCCCCTACCCCACCCCAGCACCACAGTTTCTTAAATAACTTGCTCGTTTTATTTGAAAAAGCAAACAATCAAACACATCCCCACACACACACACACACACACACAAAAACAAATGAACACAAAACTAGACAAAAACCCTTCGGACCGTAAAAATGGGGCAGGCAAGCTCGGTCCAAAGTCTCTTTCTGACAACAAAAATCCAGTAAAATGAAGGAAGATGGTTCGAACTCCTAAAGAGCGACCCGTAACTCAGTTGGAAAAGTGTATACCAACGGAAGAGTTAGATGATACGTTTGTGACGTGCGTTATATTTTGATGAACTAAATGCCAATTATTTAATCGACAAAGCTTCGTAAAGCGTTGAGAAAGAGGACAACTGAGTGTAATATGAAATTAGCGAGGATGTTGTGATTTATTAACTCAAGCCATGTAGCGGCTTCGAGCTCCTTGAGAGGACCGGCAATAAGAGGCAACATTGCCCATTGTTGAAACGAAGAATCAAACTGAATCATTCGACGTTTGTTAAGAGATCTTAAAGTATGTTGCGTTTCGATAACCTTAATGGAAATTGTTGTATCGACCACAGATTCGCAAAGCATTGCAAAAAAGAGGACAAATGAGAACAGCATGACATTATCGATGTATAATTATCATCTGACTCAAACCCTGTACGCTTCGAGCTGTTTGAAGACGATTATTAACCTGGAGGCAACATTGCCGACTTGTGAAATATAGAAATAGACTGAATCATTTCGATCAGCTAAATGCAAACCATTTTATTGACCACAGACCCGAAAGACGACAATCGGATTGTAATGTGACATTACTAATGATGTAATGATTCACTAACTCAAACACTGTAAGCTTTGAGCTGTTTGAAGGCAATCTTCTACTCAGAAGCAAAGAGGCACACTATCAAAATGAAGATTAAAAAGGATTCTTTAGACAGTTGTAAAGATATCTTGAAAATGTTGAAATTTCGCTGAGCAGATTTTTTTCGTGACCACAGAAGATGCGTTGCGAAAGTGGACAACTAACTGTTATATGACTGTCATGGTCACGCTTCACTAACTCCGCCCGAGTAAACTTCGAGGGCAATTGAGAACAATATGATATTATCGATGTATAATTTTTAACTAACTCAAACTCGGCACGCTTCGAGCTGTTTGAAGACGGTCATCAACCCAAAAGGCAACATCTTGTACTGATAAAACAAAGAATTAAACTGAGTCCTTTGAAGTTTGTTCAGACGTGTTGAAGAAGATGGCTTTTCAGTCAACTTAATGCAACAATTTTATCGACCACATATTCGAAAGAGGACGATCGAGTATAATGTGACATAAGTTATAATATAACGAGTCACCGACTCAAACGCTGTAAGCTTCAAGCTGTTCGAAGACGATCAGCGACTCGGAAGCAAAGTTTCATACTGATAACATAAACAGTAACAAGGATTCTTTAGACGGTTGTTAAGATATCTTGAAAATGTTGACATTTCGCTGAGCCTAGTACGCATTGTATCAGCGACTACATGCAGACACGAAAGGTATGAAAAGCATTGCGAAAGAGGACAACTGAGTGTTGTATTATTTAGGCGCTAAGAAGTAGATGACATTTTCAAGGATGAACGAAATGCGAATCAACAGAAAGTTGCCAGCTAAACATTAGCAACAACTTGAATTATACTACAACGAGTTCTCGATTTAATAGGTCTCATTTTCCTAGAAGTTTTTAAAAAGCTTACTACTCAAGAAAGGAATACGCTTTCATTGCACTAATCTAAAATTAAAAACTCAAGAAGGCACGGTGGGCTCGATTAACTACGGATATCCTGTTGCATGACAAAAGGTGCTGTACTAGGCTCGTGTAATACTATGTTGAAATAAACTTCATGGTGTTTGGCTGATCAATATTCTTCGTGGTAGTTTCTGGCTCGCGTAGCCACGAAATTAGCTACTGGTTTGGCCAATCAGCTGGCGGTTTAGGGAAACAATACAGCTGTGGTCACAATAGGAATTCCCGTGAAATAAATCGCGTTCGATCGATAACTCCTCCAAGATCGTACTCTAGTGCGTCGGCTAACGAGCCATGTTCTCTTCTGTCAAATCAATTTCATTAGATCGCTTGCTTGAACGTTGAATGCGTTCTAAGTATTTCAAAACAAGGCTTGATCTGTTGGGAATGAACTTTTACACAACACAGAGACAAACAGCATTTATTTGTCTATTCCCCGCCAAAATTACATTATGGCGCGAAATGAGTAAATTCCGAGTTGAGACATCGTATGCGAGATGGAAGCGAAAACTACATTCGTAACAATGTAATTTCTTCTTAGAATTTGGAAAAGTTGAATTTCTCAGCATGGAAACTGAATGGAGAATGGCAAATTTCGCGATTTAAAAGACGTTCAAGTCCGGTAAGTTACTTTCATTGGATTGTTATAACACATAATATAAGATAATTTTTATTATGATAGCATTTGTATGTGGAATTTGTTAAACAGATTTGATTAATTCTCCTCGTAAATACAGTAGTAATTAGTTGGGTTAAATTCAGTAGCATGCTTTGCTTCAACTTAGCATACATTCAGTGCAAAAATCCAAAATTGTAACGCAATCGTTGCCTGTAGCAAAACAGGGCGGAAAAGTAAGATGATAAGTTTCTCGTGCGTCTACAGGTCAAGTCCTTGCTTGCCTTCTAATAAGTGTTACGGTGTCACGATTACTGTAATGTCATTATCACATTCTTGACAGGAAAGCTTGTCAAATCTTCTTGCTTTTAAGAACGTTTACGAGCATAAAAAGGTTGCGATATTTTTTTCTTTTTTATCACGCGGACACGATTATTTGCACGTTCACCGGAAATGAATTCACAGTCTTTACAAAGGATAATGGTCATTTGATCGCTTTCTTAGTATTCGGGCGCTGATAAAGAGCGCGGCAAAACCGTGGTGGCAATTTCTGTCAACGATTTCTGTCAACGATTTCTGTCAACGATTTCTGTCAACGATTTCTGTGGAATTGTAAGCAATCGTTTGCGTTTCCATTGCTGTGTTAACCACAGAGTATTCGATATATTTCTAAGGTGAAATACACTGAATGTAACTGATTTTTTTAACCGCAAAATTACAACAGTGACAAAACTTTACAAAAAGCTTCTACGCGTCTAGCGCTAATAAAAATAATACAACCTCGAAGAAGAAGAATTTAGTACAGATAGCATCCAATTTATGGTGAAACATTACTGCTCTTAAAGCAGAAATGCCCCATCTATTGTTGTCTGTTTTATTTGTTGTTGACAGAAATAAAACAGGCAAACCTTAATTTAGAAATGACCTGACCTATATTCTTCCATGTCATTGGTTTGTTGAGGAACTAAGTTGCTGAAGAGTAAGTTTCACAATACAAACCAAATCTGATTGGTGGACACAGTAACCTATATCCCAAAGAACTAATTAAAAATGTATTTGAGATCTGATTGGTTCATTCAGGAACTAAGATACCTAAAATTTCAAGTACACATTAAAATGGTGAAGTACACATTTAAATGGGGAGGTGTTCTTGTTATACCCTGAGCTATTTGGACAGCAGGTTGTTGTGCATCGAAGGAGTCCAACAGTGCAAGAGTCCAAAGAGCACAATCTTTTTTAGTCATGGGTAACAATACAAAGGATCGAAAATGGCTCAACCAGACTGAAATGAATGTGTTGGAGTTGGAGGAACACCTTACTTTGTCAGGCTTGCCCTTGGTGAATTTATTCCCCAGGAATAAACTCTGCAGACTCCCTGAGAACAATATAAAACTGTGATAGAGTGAATTTGACTCAGTGCTGTAAAACCAAAACCAATGAAATCATAGCTGCCAATCAGAATAAAGGCAGATATCACAATGAACTAATGAGAGCTCATAGTTAAAAAACTAGCAAACTGCCTGGGGCCTGGGAAAAAGGGATTGATCAAGTTGCATTTGGGTTTGGTTCTGCATATCTGCTTTAACAACATGCTTGAGATTTTATCAATCATCTCAACAAGATAATGCTTTTTTCTTCAAATATTTTTTATATGCAAAAGTGGAACTGGATAATTTTCTCTTTCTTGTTCCCAAACATGAATTCATTTCTCACTTGCTGTCATCATCCACTCAGGTTCATCATCCAGCCAGGACCAAACAGGCCTATGAAAAATAGCCTTGTAATGAGGGTCAATCAATTGTATGAAACAAACTATCAAAAATTAGTCTTTAACAGGCAATTTTCTCATCCCATAAGGGCACGGTATGGTTCCTCAGGGCACCTAAGGGAGTCTGCTGGAACTGCTAATAAGGATATTTCTTCAGGGATTTAACATTCCAAGAAGCAATAGGAACCTTCAAGACTAGACTCCAGGGGCATTATAGCATTTTATAAGGTAACTATTTTTGAAACAACTCATTAACCTCAGTATGCAAGTAAACAGTAATGCATGGCTTGCAAATAGTAGCTACCCTGATTATGAAGGGTGGCTTTTTTCCAGCTCCTTTTCTGTTCAAAGAGTTTGTCAAGAAATGGAAGAAAGGTCAGTGGGACTATTTTGGGTCACAAATAAGCAGCAGGGTTGCGGAGCTAAATTCAAAAGAGGGGCATCAAATTTTCAGCATATGTCAAGATCATTTTCAAAGGGTTAGGTTACTCATAATAATAATTCATTAAAGTTAATTTTCTCGCTATTGGGTCTTAATTCTCAGATTTCATGGTTGCTGTGAATAGAAAACAGGGAAAAGTTATTTTTGAGCTAATCTTGGCTATCCAAGGAGGAAGAGAGTGAAGTTCATCTGAGCAATCCTTGTAAATCTTCAACATCCCTAAGCACTCACCCTTTGCTTAAGTTCTTGTTGCCCTTTTGCTGATTTTCAATTCTAATCTTGCAGAGGGGAGGAATAGGCCTAGGGATCAGCAGTATTTTTGCCCAGATTTTGGATTCAGATCAAAATTTTTAGTGCATTTGCATATTCTGCAATTGTAGCAATTTGTGGTTTTCATTAATTTGATGGGCCCAGATTTTGGATCTTGAAGTGATAAAGTTTGGATCATGGATCTCAGTGATTATCAGAAATGTTTTGTTTGGTTTGTTCTGTGTGGGTGTGTGTGTTGAGTTACCTGAAGTTGCTCAAAGTTGCCTGAAGTCACCTTATTCTACCCAAGTTGCCTCGACTCACTTAAAGTTGTCTATAATGTTTCTGTGCATCTGCTCAGTATGTAAAAGATCACAGGTGATGTCAAAATATGATAAGAACAAAAAAGTGGCACATGATGCGGAGCTGACCATGTCATTGACGTTCTTACCACATTTTGATATCCTTTGTGATCTACTACTTTGTGCATCCACAGCAATTTGGAATTTATTTCTTTTATTCAAATGAAGGACCAAAAAATTGTTAATGATGACATCATCTATGCATCTGTCTCCCACTTAATCTTAAGACAGAAGCAATCAAACTGTTAAGTCTGCTTGCTTGAATGTTAATATATTTTCATGAACACTCCTCTATGGTCAACAGGAGTGCCTTGGGGCTCAAAATATCTTGCCTGACATAGAACTAGGAATTAATGTTTCCTTGACCAATTTCCTTTAATTGTGTACAGGAAAGGGAGAAATCAAAATCACTTTACAGACATGTGCATGTATGTGTGCTTCCAAGATCAAACTATAGTGTATAGTGCTAAAAGCTGTAAATATTTACATTGCATTCAGAATGACAAACTACTACCAAAAGCCTTGCCAAAAATTTTATATGTTTTGATCAACTTGTTTCTCAAAAGTAGCAAGGCTGGTGCAAGTTCTGATAGATTAAGGGACAACAAGTTCCATAGAGCAGTTTGCAGCTTGAGTGAAGGCGCAATCATTTGACCCTTGGAATGAACAGAAGAGGTTGTGTCAGAGGCAGGTTTAATTGAAAACAGATATTTAATGAAGGGTTGAGTTAGATTGTTTAATGGTGTGAAAGCAAATTAAGGCAATTTAAACAATTCTGAATGATAGTGGAAGCCAGTGCAGGTTGACAAGAGATGGTTTGATATGGTCAAATTTGTTAATCTCGAAAATAACTAGCTGTGGCATTCAAAACTTTACGTGAAGGATCAAGTTGATATTGAGGAAGACTGAAAAGGAGTGCATTACAGTAATCAAGGTGCAAAGATACAAAAGCATGGACCAGTTTTTGTTAATTGCATGGAATGGAATTTTCTGATCTGTCTGATGCTGTATAGAGTTTGTAGAAGTGTTGCTTTAGATCTAAAGGATAATCGACCATCCATGCACCTATGAACATCAAACCAGGACCCAGAGTTCTGGATGCTTTCCCTGAGTGGTTTTCTAGAAGGCATCACCAGCAACAATTGAGTTTAGAGGAAGGTTTAACCCTGAAACTCCCAGGAGTGACTAACATGTAACCTCTCCTTATTATATCCATACATTATACAACAGAAAGGTGATGAGAATCCTCAAACTTATCAGGTTGAAGTTGTTGTCTTGATCCAACACCAAATTCTCTGAACTAATTCACAAAGAAATTTGTAGCAGCTAGAGGAGAGAATTAACAATTAGTTATTGGGAGTTAAAAGGTTAACAATGAAGCAATCAAATATCGACCCTCATGTAAGGTATGATATTCTTGAGGCAACAGTAATTAAGTCTTACTTACAAGATCAAGTTCCTCAGAATTCTTTTAGGGATTATTTCAGTCCAGACCATGAGTTGGTTAATGCAAATGAGTTGAGAGTGGCATCCAATTTGTTGATAATGCCTCTTGAATGTAAGACAAGTACTTCAACCACTCTCCTTTCTCTCTTGTAGATGCAGAAGTGTACAACTTTGATGCTTCACATCACCAAAGACCATTCATTACAATTTAGTCTCAGTCAGTCCAAAAAAATTAAGGTATAATAGGACTGATCATTCTCCAAGATTCTAACTCTGATTAAGCTTACTTTGTTCAGGTTAGTACAATAATAAATAAGCACCTTATTTTTGTCGGTAGAAATGTTCTACTGTCTTGAACTTAAACCAAATAAGATTTTGTCAGTATGTTTGTTGTATTTTGAGAATAGAATGTTCATGAAGTCAATTGGTTGGTTCAGGTGATTAATTGTCACTTAGTCTGGCTATGAGCGGGCTTCCTGGATATGCTTGGCATATGATTAATGCCTAATGAATATTCTTTCTAAAAGTTAACCTGTGTTTGATAAACAGTCAAGTAATTTCAAGTTTCCTTTGGCAGTAAAGAATGAATTGTACTTCTATTTTGAATGGCATAAGAATTGCCCTTGGGCCCATGCAATATGACATTTTAAAATCAGCTTAGATAATATCACTGTCTAATCGCATACATGTATTGGTTAACCTAAATTGAATTTCATTTGTAATTATGCTTTATTCATACTTAAGTTTCAGAGTGCATTTTACTTCTGGATTAGATGGTAGCTCTGCTGATTTTTGATCACAGGAATTTTATATGGATGAGGTCTTTGGAGAAACACTGGAAATTTAAAGGGCCAGTTATCAGAAAGTGAGAATTAACTTGCTATTTGTCATGTGGAATGGTGACATAACAGGAAGGATAGTAGTCCTTAAAATCCATTTTCATATATTTGTAGTGAAGCTGTAAATGTTATTTAACTATTTTTATTTGAATATTTCGCTTATACTTTGAATGTATTAAAGGTACTAATTTACGTCACAAATTGCCCTGACATCAAATGACTTGATGTAAAACTGATGCAAAACATGAAAACATGAATGGCAGTTTTTTCACTTGGAAAAACATTTTTAATGATACATATTTCCTGTTTAATATTTTCCTCATTACAGACTCCTTGCACCTATCATAAATCTGACCAAAGCAGCATGCAAGCCTTATAATCTTTCCACCATATAGTTCCTTGCCCTTGAGGATTCAGGTCTATTATTTGCAAAGATGTACTTGTATAATGTACATGTTTATGGTATTTTTTCCAATGTTATTGCAATTAAGGGTTCTTAAACTGTTTTCTTGGTATTCAAAATCAGGTTATAAGGATAACAAAATCTGACCAACAATAATGTTCTACAAAGCTACAATGAAGTTCACAAATTAATTAACCACAAGCCAGAACAAAATGCAATTGAGTATTGAAGTACAACTCTAACTGAACTAAAGCGTTGGACATTAGAAATCAAGAAGCTGCAAATGGGTAATGATGAAGAACAGCGCCCTAAAAAACAGACAGGAAAATAACCAACAGGCCACTGACAGGCTATAGAAAGGTTACAAATTGGCAATATACACGCAAATTAACATCTAAAACAAAACTTTGACTGTACTGATCAACCATGTCTTCATGCTCCCTCTTTATTTGTCTGCTCTAAAATACATTATCAGTTCGTCATGTGCAAACTGCATTTAGTGAACTCATGGGGTCTTCATAACTTTCCAATATGGCAGATTGCAACACCAGTATTTTTGCAACTCATGTAAGTACTGGCGCTAAATGGGGCCTAAACTCTCCATCCAATGTAGCCTCTACATCCCCTGAAGTTTGGATGATAAATGTTGTAATACAATAGTATTGTTAACGACAACTTACTGACATATCAATAACAGATTACTGAATGTCATATGACAACTGTGCTTTAATCTTTTGGCTGACAGTCAGCTGACAGGTGGCTAACAGTCTGTCAACAGTTGGTATAAAGTTGGTCAACCAACTGTCTGCGGACTGTTGGCCAAGAGTCAGTGACTGTTAGTCAACAGTTTTAAGCACACCTGTCTTCCAACAGTCAGCTGACAGTAATGTTATCACTGTCAATTTACAGACAAATAACCAACAGATCAACCGTGGCCAATAGGTGTGCTTACAACTGTCAGCAAACTGTCTTTTCAGGGAGTCGTTGTTCACAATTTCCTACTAATGAATGGTCACTGAACTGTGGTTGTCCAAGGGAATTATTAGTTCCAAAAGTATAATACCCAAAGTTTCACACTAACTAAGCAATTTTGGAAAATTGTCACAAAATGTCTACACTGATTTTCAATTTAAGCTTATTGATACAGCTGCATCTTGTCAATTGCCAGCTTAACATTCTACACTCTTAATACTCCAGCTTTCAACCTTCTTCAGATTCAAATTGCAGCGTTGTCTAGTAAGGTTTAGCTGGTAGTAGCAAATTTAAAGTGATGTCATTTCGGGCTCTTTTTTGGTCCAAGAATACCTATCTTCATTCAAACCTTCTCCTGTTAAATTCATGGCAAACGTGCCTCTGACAGCTTCACTTTCCTTGTTCTGAATTCCTCCAACAACAGGGTCTCTTCCTGTCTGCTGGTTGGCTAGGTTGTAGTTGCTTGAGTTCTCAGTCTTCTCAGCGCTATCTGTAGAGATGATGGAAATACTGATAACAATGTCATTACGTTATGTCTTTGGTTCTTAATTTTTAGCGACATGAAATGTATTTGAGTTAGTTATAGGGCTGTTTGATTTTACCTTCTTTTGCATTCATCTCAACCTCATCTCTGTCTTCTTCAATCTCCAAATTTTTAATTCCTATCTCAACAGCAACGTTTTCTTTCTTTTGGCTGGCTGGTTTATCATCCTGAAAGTCATTGGTGGAATTTTCTAATGCTTTTCCTTCTCCATGTTCACCAGAAGTGTCCCTCACCGAGGGAGTTGTGATAACAGCAGGTCTCCAGCAGAGGAAGGACATGTAAACTGGCAGGATACACAAGCCGTGAAAAAGGCCAAGCACAACGATGCCAAAAAACATTCGAAAGAATATGCGGAAAATCTCTGAAGCAGCAAAAGCAAGCACAACCATACCAAGGAAGGTACTGAATCCTTCATCAGACAAAAAAGAAATCTCTAGAGGAGTTCATGACATATACAGTGCTGGTAAATTTAGAAGTCTTTCAAATCATGCACAGTGTATCTGAAAAAATGCTCTAACTATAAATCCTATTCTTAAGAAATCTGATTTGAAAAAAAAGAACCAACATTGATGGCTATATTTATAGAATGTTAATTCAGCTACAATACAGGGATAATGTGTACTTAAGGCATCTGTTAGCCAAATATCGACCAATATTACTGGTTGACATATCGACTGTGAGTCATTCGATACTCCACAGACACGTTGACCGGTAGTCAGCCAACTTTGGATTGCCATGTTAGATACCAGCTGGATTGTTGGTCACCACTATCAGTCTCTACTAGGTCTATATGTTGGTTGACACTCGTCTGACACCTCAACCAGTACATTGCGATCAACAGTCAGCAGCATATTGGTCGAGAGTCGGTGGCATATGGGTGGACTGGGGGTGGTATATGTGTATTGTTAATCATTGTTTTGCTGGAATCGTAACTGTCCTAGTTCCTTCCCCTAAGCCATGTATTACGCTAACAAAGACTTAGGACTGAGAAAATAAGTAAACATTGAAGTAGAATAGATAGAACCTACTAACAAGAGCAGATCAAGTGAAAGTAGTGTGGGCTGAGTGTGTGGGTAAAGTATCAGCAGCATGTCTACCAAGTATCGTTTGACATGCGCGTTAGTTGAGAGGCCACCGATTTCGGTCAACATCGGCCGCTACTCCGTCAGTATGTGAGTTGTGTATCAGCCAATGTAACAGCCAACACTTAGTCAACATGTCAGCCAATGGTATCAACCAATACTCAACCAACAGATGCTTCAAGTACACATGATTCCACTGCAGAAATATCAAAGCTGTGTGTCTTGTGAACCACATGTCAATCAGCTCTATGGAATAAGATGCTGGCAGAAGAAATTTTTGTGATGGTGGGGGAGGCTTCTTATTTTTCAAAACACAAGATTTGTAATAAGTAATTGAGCTCCTGACTTACCTCCCATAAAAACACTTGCACCCAGTGTAGTCAGAGCATCCACTACTCGTTCATTAGCAGTTGCCTTGTTTGATGTTATGTAGGCATGGGCGATATGTGCACTGTAATCAACCGCAAAGCCAATAGCCATAACAAGGTTAATCATGGACACAGAGTTCAGAGCCACATCCCAGATTACCATCAAACCGAACAACTCGCAAACCAGGGCTGTAAAGTTTAACACCACTAGGAGCGTCACCGTACAGTCTGCTAAAAAGGGGCTTGTGACAATAAACACTGCTAAGGCTGATATAATCAGGTTTCGTATGGTCTCCTTTTTCACCATAGCGTACATTTCAAAAAATATGAAATATCGAACTATTGGAAAGGCCTCCAGGTTTGTTTTCTTTTCAATGTCTTCACGGAGTGTGAGCATTGCATTCTTATGGAAAGTGGAGCTGCTGGAACTCTTCATAAAACCAATGACACGAGAAGCGTCTATTTTTTTTCCGTCCTCTGAAAACCTCAGGTCCTGCCTGTAATAAGAGAAGGTGGGAATTTGGAGGAATTGTTTTAGTTCGCGTAGAAATCCTGAGCCAGTAATGTTTTTCTTAGACATCTTGGCATACTGAGAAAATGTGTCCATCCAGGATAATGATCGGTTCTGATAATATTCATTTTCAATCAAGATATTTGTTAGCTGTTTGATGCTTTCCTGGGTTGAGTCTAGGTTGTAATCAATCTTACCAGTCTCTACAAGATTCACTTCTATTCCACCTCGAAAGTACTTGTTTTGAGCTGTCAAGAATTGCCTCAAGTAAGAATCATCTTTGGCCAGTATGCGCCTATCAAAAGACTCCTCCACCTGGGTGACCCCATATATTCCAGCAGCAAGCAATGTCAGTGACAATAGTATGACCACAACTTTTGTGACTGGAAGCATCAACAATGTGGCCCAATATTTCATAACTCGATTTGAAGTCTGTGGAAGAGGTTCTTCCCAGGCTGGCATACCCTCTTTTGGTCGAGGCGCCAGGAGAAGTGGAATACAATCTCTGCGTCCGGATTTAATTCGTCTCACGTCATATGTCATAATAGCAACAAAGAATGTGACAACCATTAGGAAGGAAAATGTCACTGTCAGAGCAGCGTAGGTGCAGAAATACCTATGAAAGAAATTATTTTAGTATAAATTTAAATGTAGAGGAAAATCTGAAAAAAACTTTAACTGTTCACATCATTTCACCTTGCTAGATAAAAAAGTATTGAGATGTCAATAGCAAGTCAAATGATCCTAAATCCTATCGGATTGGGAAAATTTTTCCAAGCAATTGGTAACTGAGCCTCTACCCAGAACTGAGTCTGTGTTCATGGGTGTTTAGAGGGACAGATTTTACTGTTTGTAACGGTAAACTAAGTTCTTCAGGTCAGTTGAAATCCTCTTCTTTCTTTCAACACTATAAATATTTGTTTAACCCTCTACCCTAAGGTGACCAGCATCTAATATTTCCCTTTATTATCACCCTTGAAACACACATGAAGGTCACGAAAATAAAAGAAATGATCACCAACCAAAGAAGCTCTTGATTGTTAAAAGAATTATCCTTGTAAGTTTTGAGATGCTTTTCAAAGTTTTGAGATGCTTTTTCCTTACATATAGAGCAATCTGGTGATTATTGAGCTCTCCCTTTGGGGTGAAATCTTACACCAGCCTCTATTCCAATCAGAAGCAAAACTGAGTTTACTTGTGATTTATTCACTCACTGTTAATTTCGCTCTGAATTCTGTTTTTGCTCCCTATAATTATTTCATCTGTTCTGATTGGCTGTTGTGATGACAATGAGTTTAGGTTAACAACTCTTTCACTAAAATGAACCCAAAAGAAGAACTCAACCTTTCCTCTCTTTAAAGCAAGGACTGGGCTGTTTCTGCCGGAGTGAAGCGGTTTAAGGTTTTTAGACTTGAAAATCGAAGACCATTTGTTAGCAAAGTGAAATGGTATGTGTTTACATTCCCTGATGCTTATGAAAAAAATTTAGGCTCTCGAAAGGTGTTTGTAATCATTAAATAAGTGCCTTACCTGATTGCTGGAAATGAGGAAGATGTACTAACTGCAAATGCAACTAAGTCTGTCATAGTTGTCATGGTGACAGTTGCTCCTGAATGTTTCATAACTGCTTTGATTTTCTCAGTTGTTGACAGCTCACGTGGTTGTCGATCAAGCTCATCTACCATGATAAACATATCATCTATGCCGATTCCAAGAACTAGGAAAGGCACTATTCCCACCATGCTGAGGAAGGGAACTCGGAACCACATACCAATGCCAAGTCCGGCTAAAATACCAAGGGCCACTGCAAACACCCCTGCGTTGGCAAGTAGGGAATGGCCAGTCAGCGGATTCAAGAACTTTCCTAGCATGATGCAAGCAAAAGAAATCATGAGGCTAAAAGTGACTGACACTAGACTGATATCAGACCCAGTGCTTTCACCTATGGCATCATCCAGGCTCCTTTCACTTGAATAATGGACTTTGAAGCATGACAGTTCGTCTACCAATGAGGCCAGTTTATCTAAGAAAGTCTTTTCCCATTGGAGAACCTTTTCATTTGCATCGTTATCCTTGGGATTACGGAGGAGATAAATTATTTGCAATGCTTTGGCGCCTGTTATGCTTCCTTGATTTCGACTCGCATCTCCAAACATTCGGTCGAAGTTTAACCAGAATGGGCGTCCATTCCGCATAAGTGAACTTGTGTTATTGTAAGCCTTGTTCAGTTCCTGTTGAACCAGTTCAATGTTATCGCTGCTCACTTTGCTTTCATTGAACTGTAGAAATTCCAGTGGGTTGATCATCATACAATCGTTTAAGGACTTGGATTTGTTCCCAGACAGTGTGACGCAGAAGTGAGAATAAGATTCAATTCCCATAACTGCATTATGAGCTTGAAAGGCTTGTCTCAGACATTTAGGAGTAAGAACGTTAGGATGACCAGGTGATGCCGCTAAAAGGATGATTTCCTCTCGAAAATCGACTCGAAAGTATTTCTCAGCACTTTCCAAGTCGTCTATGGCTCTACTGCTTTGAGGGATGAACAATTTTACTGCTCTCTTTTCTGAATGAAACCACACAAAACCCACAGAACAGATACTGATGAATATGATGCATATTTGGATTGTTCTCGCAGGATGTCTGGCAATCCTTACACAGTACCAACCAAAGAAGCGTTTCAAAAGGCTCAAATACAAATTGCAGAGGGATGACCAGAGCAGACATGGAATGAGTTGGTAACCTTTGGAGCGTCTAAAAATAACATATAGATCAAAAGGGACTTTTAAATGGATTATGAATATAGTTAAAAAGGAAATTGCTAACTAGTTTTGTGGTAGTAACTCAAGAAAAGTGATGTCATGACTACCATCACAAATAGACAAACAAATCTATACAGATAAGTACATATACAGTAGGTGAGGTTGTTTGGTGACACTAATTTACTCAGGGTAAAGAGTGTTATTAGTGTTATATTTTCAGTTAATATAAGTAGTATCCATTCTCTATCTTCTGTGTCATTTCACGAGTCTAGAAAAGCTGGTAGACTAGTTGCTGGAATAGTATGGAAAAGGCTGAATACACCATTACGGAAACTACTGACTTAACCAACTACAACATCTGCAAAGAGTGCGTCAACCACATAACAACCACACTGGCTATACCAAAAACGAAAGCCACGATCACTGCTTCAGTAAAACTACTATAATTCTGCCTACACCAAACATAACAGCTACACTGGCTACACCGACTTCAACAAACACCCTTACTACTCTTAAGGTAAGCGTAACTACCGTGCATGGTATAGCCTAAGAAGCTGCTGTTAGTAATGTACCCAGTGTAACCGTTCTACTTTTTATCATGATTGAAGCTTTTGTACTTGCTTTAGATAGTGTAACGGTTGCACTTTGTAACGTTAGTGTGGCAATTGAAGTTGGCGTACCTTCCTACATTTAGTGATGATGTTTTTTTTCGTGTGGTCAAGAAAGCAGTTATGGAAAGATTGATCAGTAAAGCTGTTTTTGACATAATCAATGTATCTCCTACAGTTGGTGTACTCAGTATCTCTACTAAACATGCATGATGTAGTCAGTGTAGCTATTGTAGTTGGTTTAGTGTGTCTCCTCAGGAATGTAAGTGGTAAGGTTACTAGCCCCTACCCTTACTTTTAAAGGATAAAGTTATGAAGATAATATTTGAAATTAAAGAACTGATGACTTCAAGAAGACTTGGGTAGAATTAGGATTTTTTAACAGCATGAAGTCACACGGAACATCTGACTTGTTTATGTTAACGGTTATTTCACAGTGAGACAAATTTATAGTTCATTAATTCTTGGATAAGTTATGTCATGTTTTACTAGAATAGATAAATATAGCGCAATAAATATCGTTTTCTGAGCTCTGCTTTTTAGGTAAATTTTGAAATATCTGTGTTAACTATGAACAAAAGATGCGATCTTCTATTTAGCATCACTCACGCATTAAGTCAAACAGACAAGGAACACAACGTGAAAAGATCCTTTTTATAGACTCAATGTAGGATCTCTTCAAGTTCTGTTCTTTTTCGTTGAGTCATAGCCGGTTAATGCTTTGACGATGTCATTTTTTCCGTTTGTTTCTTTTTTTTACATTGAATAAAAATGAGACACCGATAAAACTTATTACTTGATAATTTCAACGATGGGACGCGCTGCTTTAGACTTTGATTAAGACAAAACGGAGAAAAGAAAACCATCATATAGCTATCGACACACATTCGTAGCACGGAACTTTGTGATCACTCTTAGTGCACTTAAAGCATAACAAGCATATTAATGGACCGCATCGCAAGCGACCTTCATTGACGAGAAACTTAAGAATCATTCTCTTGTGGCTTCAGTGCTTGTTGCAATAATATTTCTTTATTGCATGGAATCAGCTCGTATCGTGAACTGGATATATGGAACAATAAGGTCGGACTTGAACCTTCTTTCAATTTGTATCCTTGACTAACAACCCATTCATTCCAGCAAAACATGTTTAGTGAAACCGGGTTTAACTGAGTGATAATCAGGAGCATAGAACTGAAAAACTGAATTTTCCATTGGATTCAAGTAATCGCTAACTTTTATTTTCAATGTGACACGTTTGAAGTTGACAAACATTGGTTTAAGCAGCCACTACGGGGAAAAATGATTATATGTGCTTAGCAAAACAGTTTTAAAAGATGTTTTAGTTTTGGCGTGAATGGGGTATAGAACTCTGCTTATATAAAGACTTTCTGTTATATGTAGTAGCTTGCCTTTGTTTACTCTTGAGGGTTTCCTTATTACTTAAGGCTAAGGCCAACGCTATGTACGGCTATGATGTCGCACATAAAAATATGTTTTTACTAATATATGTAAGTTATTCCTCGAATATACTTCATCAGACAAATTCTGTGGCAGAGACGAAGATTTTCACTTTGAGTCTTCGTGTCAAGCCAAATTGAGGCACCAACTTTCCTTAGCCGTGTTGCAGACCTACCGACTAAGTTGTCTCGGTCCTATGGCCTCTCAAGTATATATACGAAGTGTGAATCGCGGGTACATTTTGGGTTTCAATGCACAAAATTGAAGTATTTGATGTTAAAAAGATATTACAGATATTTTAGGGTAACTGAAACAACCCACAAAAAAGGTAAAATCAATTAAAAGTGTCTATACCTTTGGAAATAAACGAGATCCTTTTCCGCATTTGGTATCTCATTACATTTGCCGACGTAATTTTCCTCGCTTCTTGTAGTCATAACGCACTTCTTGTATTCGCAGCTATTTCTAAAATAAAACTTTTTGTTTTACGAGTTTACCAGATGATATTTCTTCGAAAAAGAACCTCTCTCTTACGCCAACGTCATTCCAAAATTTCTTCGTGTGCGCACTGAAATCTGACGAAACTACAAAACAGGATTTCCAAGTCAAATTGAAAGCATCATACGCACCAACGACGCCATTTGTCAACATAAGCGCATCTTAATGAATCTTCTCAATTCGACCATGTCATGACTTGATATGATTGGCAGATTAGAAGAGGCAGGCTTTCTCGTATATAACGTGACAATAGATGGCGCCCATCTGATCGCCTTAGCAGATGAAAGGAGAAACTAAAAGCTTCTAGGTGGCGAGAACACTGATGAAAGTAAGTCGTTAGGCGACAAGTGTTCTAAGACAAAATGTTTTGAGGCGAATGTCACTCGGCCAGCTGGCAGTTTACAGAAATTTATTCCTTTATTTCCGTTTTTATGATGCGCAATCTTGAAGCTAGATAATACAAAATGGGCTCGCTATGGTTTTGGAAAATCAGACTGATGCATTAACTCTTTCACAAGGTAGTTCGTCGATCCTAACGTTACAGCGAAATTTACATCAGGCAATTGAAACCCCGGTCCCCCGACCCACGGGGACATATTTGGAGTTATCGAGAAAATGCCGATGCCGCAATTTAAATTTGATTTAACGATATATTGGTCCTGGAGGCGGGGACAGAAGCGGAAATTTTTTATATGATAGGATAAAAGAAAAGCCTCGTTCCCAGGATAACATTTTGTTTAAATAAACTTGTGGTATTGACCTGACGATGCTTCGAAAATGAAACCTCTCTGTTTCTGTTTTACCAGGCTTTCAAACAAGCGTTGAAAACGACTAAACAGCAACGGTTCATCTTACTCGTTTTTATTGCGACAGGATGGCCACAATACTTGTACTTCCCTGCCCACCGGCTTGTTAATCTCAACGGTTTCTTTCCAATCGTTCGTTTCAGCGCACGAGTTAATGCAAAGATACGACCTTACTTTTCCGATGTACCAAAATGAAGATAGAAACTGCAATGTGCCTGATGGGAAATGCATCACTGCTTATATTATACTGTTAAAAGAACGCTCTTAAGGCGAAGAATACTAATTTTTTCCTGAGTACAAAGTTCTTACCTGCCCATCGGCTTGTTCATCTCAGCAGCTTCTTTCCAATCGTTCATTTCAGCTTATGAGTTAACACAAAGATACATCCTTACTTTTCCGATGTATCAAAAGTGAAGATAGAAACTGCAAATGTGCCTGATGGGATATGCATCACCGCTTATATTATACTGTTAATGCGGAAGCCAGTTAAAAAAATGGGCGGACTTCACCCTTAAGAAATAGATTTGCATTTGTTTTTAACTTTCTGGAGGTTACAAATTTTTACCTTCCACTCTTAGAATGCAGTTTTAGTTCAAATATGACCCTGTCGTTACATGGGCTGCAAGCACAGACTTATTTTATTTGTTTGTTTTAACGAACAATAATCTACAAAGTTCGTGCCTGTTCAAACCAGTTCCCGCAGTGACAGTATATTAGCAATGATATTCCACCATAGAAGAAGACAAAAATAAACGAAGAAACAGACAGCTCACCAATCTTGGCATGCCTTTGCGGCGTGCGTTTGGAAGAGGATATAGCTCTGAGTGTACGATTGATAACCTCCAACTATTATCTGATGTAGACTGTCGCGTGGTTACGAAGTGGTGAAATTTGACTTCAATCTCTTTATGTTACTGAATGCTTCTATAGACAATTCAATATCAAGGTGGAAATATCTCCCTTAACATTAGGTGGCCTTATCTACTACTTGTTGGCAATTAAAAACACCTCCTTCTTGATGAAACAAGTGAGTCACGCGCTTGTTTCATTAATTAAATTTATTTTTTCTCGTGCTTGAAACGTGTCCAAGTTTTAGGAGGAATGTCTGTATGAAATGGTTCACTTGTTATTAAAACGCTGTAGGAACAAACCGACGACAAAGACTTACCATAGTTTGCTTTAATAAATTTACGTTTACGTTAAATACAGTTATCTATCTATCTCTCTATCTATCGATTTCGATGATGATAAGTGGCAAAAAGAGAGTAATCATGCAACGTGTGCTTGTAGAAATTAAATTGGGTTATGAGGGACCTAGAAGAAGGCTCTTGAAGAATATATGCGGTCAAGTTCAAGAATGGTAAAAGTTTTTTATACTTATTTTTTCGTTTTTTGAGGGACCTAGAAGAAGGCTCTTGAAGCGAAGAATACAAATTTTTTCCTGATAGTCAAAACAGCCATTTTTTCGCGCATTATCTTTTTGATGCTACTTCTGCCAGCGAAATGAAACTACTCGAAAGTTTTGCGACTAGAATCAATTTGACTACTTTACAAAAGTGCTACCCAGCAGACTTTGGGAAACAGAGTATCTACCCACCCTCTT